TGTGTGTGTGTGTGTGTGTGTGTGTGTGTGTATGTCATTTGTATTTCTTCTTCTGAGATCTCTGTTCAATTACACATCCATGTTTTGATAGAGCTGTTTGTTTTCTTATTGATCACAGTTTTTGTTTTAAGTTCTTTGCATATTTTGAATATTAATCTTCTGTTGAATGAATTGCTAACAAGAATCTTTGCCCTTCTGGCAATCTGTCTCTTGTCTGTTTCCTTTGCTGTACAGAAGCTTTTAATTTCCAAGAGCTCCTGTTTGTAGTCATAGCCTTATTTTCTGAGCAGCTGGACCCCTACTGGGAAAGTCCCTACCTATCCCTACTTCTTAAAATGTTTTTCTTTCCAGAGTTTTTAAAATTTATATGAGTACACTGTAGTTATCTTCAGACACACCAGAAGAGGACATCAGATGGTTGTGAACCACCATGTGTTGCTGGGAATTGAACTCAGGACTTCTGGAAGAGCAGTCAGTGCTCTTAACCATTGAGTCATCTCTCCAGTCCACTCAGTTAATTTTATTAAGCCAGCCATTTTCATGAAATGAATTCTTCTAATCCTTTAGCATGAGTAGTACTTTTTTTCTTAATGTCTTCAATTTTTTTGAACCTTATAAAGTTTTCATTTTAGAGGGCTTATCCCTCCTTGGTTAGGCTTATTCCAAGGAAAGTTATAGGGGTGAAGGTACTGGCTATTGAGGTAAATGAGATTAATTCCCAAGTTCTTCTTTAGCATGTGTGTTATTACTAAAGATGAAGGCGACCAAGATTTGTATGTTAATTTTGAATGCTGTCACTTTGTTGAAATGACCCTAAGACTTCTCTGAGGAAGACTTTAGGTTATCTTATTGAGAGAACCTTATATTATCTTTGACTATTGCCTTTTCTATTTATTTATTTATTTTTTCCATAGGTCTTACTGTTCTAGCTAAGACTTCTACTGAACTAACTAAAGAGTGGTTAATAAATGGAAATCCTCATCTTCTTCCTGTGCTCAGTGCGTTTGCTTGGAGGTTTTCTCATTTGGCAAAACATTGGCTATATTGAGATGTGTTCTCTCCTTTCCCAATTTTTTCAAGACCTTAACATGAAGTGCATATTTATGTTGTCAGATCTTAGCTCTCTAGGAGGCTTGTCCCCAGCCTAAGATTACCTCGATCCTCTGGGGGCCTCTTTTTTACCCTGTTTCCTAAAGTTTACCTGATTCCCCTGTGGCCAACATGAACTTAGAAAACAAGTCTAGCTGAACATCTAATATCTTCCTATTTTCCTCTAAAACTATGATCAAATACCATCCAGCCATAATGGGCCTTGAACTTGCTCTACATAAGGGACATATGTTCCAATTTGGGATTCCCAGAACACATATACAGCTCTGTGTTACTGGAATCAGGGGGAACAGACAGGAAATCAGTCATCTGTAGATGATGTGCTGAAGACTGTTTCTATAATGCAACTGTTAAGGTCAATGAATGCTGGCCATCCATCTTACCTTTCTCTCAATTAAGATGATATAGGCAGAACATTCTCATCTCTGCATAGTTTGGGTCAAGGTTCTCCACAGGAACAGAACTGCTATCAAGAATCCATATGCATTAAAGGAGATTTAATAGAGTGGCTAAAAACCTGTGATCTGGCCAGTCTAACAATAGATGTCTCCTAAAGGAAAGCCCAAGAACTCAATCCATGAGCCTGAATTTCACAGCTGTACACTGGAAACCCTAAGAAGTGGGCTCTAATTCCAGTGAAGGAATACCTCAACAGCAGAATGGATAAACTTGCCAGCGCAAATAAGAGCAAGCAGTCAAAGAAAAGTCTTCTTCTACCATGCCCTTTTCTCTGGGCTGCCACCAGAAGATATAGCCTAGATTTACGGTAGATCTTCCAACCTCAAATGACCCAATGCAGAAAAATGTCTCACAAGTGTGCCTAGCTAATTGGGTTTCAGTTCATTCCAGATGGAATCAAGTTGAACACCAAGATGAGACACCACTTTGAGTATATTAAAAGACAAATCTACAACACATACTTACACTGGGGTCCAGGAGTTGTCCCCAAAATCACACTACACACCAATCTCAGTGAGCCGTGAATAGTTTATGGAGAATTTGTCCCAGAAGTGATCAGTCAGTTTCACAGACTAGACTTGGGAGCCAACTAACCTTGAGCCAGATTCATACAGAGCTTTGAAGCCTGAAATCCACAAATCTCTGTGCCAAATTATTCCACTAATCTGTATTCAGGGATAGAAGACTTCCTAAAGAACATATATTTGTGTCATGCTTATCCTGTCCTCATTGGTTGGGTTATTCAACTGTGACAGGGTGACATGACTTTCCTAGCATTCATATCCCAACTTGCCAACCAGATGTCAGTTACCCCTACACATGGCAGAAAGTAGCATGTCAATTCCCAGGGAGGTCTCAACTCCAGGCTTCTTGTGTCTAACTATATAAAGCAGGTCTAATGGGCTGCTGTTAGGATTGTTTTCCAAGATAATAAAGCATACAACATAACAGACTTTGGGTGAACAGTTGACTCAGATATGAAAAAGTTCTTAGTAACAGCACATGAGACACTTTCCTTGTAACACTTGTAACCGCATATGAGAAAGTTTGCTTATAATAGCATAAAATGAACGGCTAGACAGGCAACAGATACCCAGGCCATAACAACTTAGTTTTTCCACTACTTAGTCTTCCAGCAGCTGTACCATTAGGAAAAAGGACACCAAAACATTTTGGAGGGTGTGTGTTTTGTTTTGTTTCTCCTGACAAGGGTCCCTATATAACAGTCCTAGATAATCTTAAACTCACTTTGTAGACTAGGCTGACCTGGAACTCATCTGCATGCCTCTGCCTCTGTAGACCATGTTCTTGGAGAACACACACAAACATTTTTCTAAGGTTGGTTTAAAGCTGTGAAAGACAACAGGTGCTATTTGTTTTTCTGAGGTACAGAGTTTTTTCTCTGAACAAATTCCAGTTACACTAATTTTTTTCTGAAAATGTCATGCTTTCATTTTTCATCACAACTCTATAGAACCTTATTTTGTATATGTTCCATAATTTCTTTGTCCATTTATCTGTACATAAATATCTACACTGAAGTGATTACCAAGCTACTATCAACACAGCAGCTGTAACCACAGATATGTTTGCTTCTGTGTGGTCTGTTGACTAAAACTCTTTCAGGTGAAGTGATTAGTGTACCTGGAACAGTGATAAATTTCTGAAGGAACTATACAAACTTTGAATAGTGAATATGGTTCCTCATTTCTACATTTTTTTGTTGATGGTGGTTTCTTTGTAGTACCACTCTGATTTAATTGCCCTTTCTCTAATAGTTCAGGATATCGAGTAAATTTTCCAGTATGTTTTAGCTATTTCATTTAGTCTTTTGATGACTGTATCTACTGCTCATTAGCCCACTAACTGACTGAATGTTTTAATTTTTACTGCTTCAACAATTTTTACGTTGTCAAAACACTATACCCCTCCCCAGTTCTCACATCACTTCTGTTATGTCTTCTGCATTGCAGTAAGCCTTGGAGGCCATAATTTGTGTATCACATTTATGGCTGAGCATTCAAAAGTCACTTCCGCTCAATTCTTTGACCATTATGAGTTAATCTAAAGTTAATCTTTTCACAATACACAGAAGCTTCTATGGCCATACCAATTCATGGATACAAACATACATAAATATGTAGATGGCAAATTGATGGGAATAGTATACCTATTCCACAAAACCAGAGCAGCAGCTTTCCCATCACAGACTTTGACAACCACAATCTCATGGTCTTGATTGAAAAGCAAAGGGTTTTCAGCACCAAAGAGGGAAAGAACTTTAGAAGATATCAAAGTCACAGGAAACCCAAGAAGAATCGATCAAGAGTCTCTCACATCCTTAAGACTACTCCTCTGACCATGAGGTGAGCTCTCCAATTGAATTAGCTACCACTCATGTCAAGTATTAAAGTAAAACTCAAAACCTGAAAGGCAGTGTGCCTGTCATAATATGACCTTATTTGGAGAGACCAACAGAGCTTTGAACTCAGTGAATTTCTTTTCTTGACAACATCTTGGTATCATAGTCAGACTAAGCTCAAACTTCTGATCCATTTCATAACCTCATTAATGCTACTAATACAGGCTTGAATTTGATCTTGAAAGCTGAAAACACTGTAAAGAAGAAAATAGTCAAAAATTAAGGAGTGTGAGTCAATCCAAAATTTAAAGCTAAACACAGGAATAAGTGCTGTTTAGTCCTGTACATTTGATTGAAGGGAATAAAGTCCCTATTTATAATGTGGGGCAGATGCTGGGCCCTACTCATTGATTGTTCTTGCTGAACTAATTGTTGACCTTCCTGGTTCTTTCCTCCCTTAGGGCCCATCAACATTTCCCAGTCATGGGTCAAACTTCTTCTTCTACATCCCCTCCAAAAGAGGGTCCTGATTTGACCTCCTGCTTTGGCACAAATCTTCAGAATTTCAAGATGAAAACCAAAATCCTGTCTAAGGAATTAATCACCTTAATTGAAGCATACCTAGAGGAAGGAAACCTTCGGGAAACAGTTTCTGCAATCAGTAATGCTCTGGGTGACATTGAGAAAGCCCCACTGAACATTGCAGTGATAGGGGAAATTGGAGTTGGAAAGTCCAGTCTCATCAATGCTCTACGGGGAGTAAAAGCTGATGAAGAAGGTGCAGCTGCTACTGGGGTGATATGTACAACCACTGAGAGAACATCATACCCATATGCAAAGTTTCCCAGTGTGACATTATGGGACCTGCCTGGTATTGGGTCTTTTGCCTTTCAACCACATGATTATCTGGAGAAAATCAAATTTGAGGACTATGACTTCTTCATTATTGTCTCTTCTGGACGCCTTAAACTTGATGACACAGAGCTTGCCAAAGTCATTGTGCAAATGAATAGGAGTTTCTATTTTGTTCGAACCCATACAGATATTGATCTAAAGATGGAAAAACAGTTTAAACCTAGAACATTCAATAAAGAGAACATCTTAGAGCAGATTCGAAATACCATTTCGAGTTTACTTAAGGAAGTGACCCACCAGGAGCCTCCAGTCTTCTTAATCTCGAATTTTGATGTGTCTGACCTTGACTTCCCAAAGTTAGAAACCACTCTTCTAAGAGAACTTCCAGCATACAAACGCCACATGTTCATGGTCACTTTGCCAAATGTTACAGGTTCCACTATAGACCGGAAGAGGGATATGCTGAAACAAAAGATCTTCAACGAATCCAGAATTCCAAGAGCATGGGCTGCCATATCATTCAGAGGATTGACCAAAATTGATCTACAGATGTTGGAACAAACTTTGAATGACTATAGATCTTCCTTTGGCCTGGATGAGGCATCACTGGAAAACATAGCTGAGGATTTGAACATGACACTTGAGGAACTCAAGGCAAATATTAAGTCTCCACATTTGCTCTCAGATGAGCCAGATACATCCTTAACAGATAAACTCTTGAGCTACATTAGACATCCTTACTTTTCAAAGGTTTTCCACTTGCAAAATTATTTCATTGACACAGTTGCAAGTGATGTAAAAATTATCCTCAATAGTGAAGAGCTTTTGACAGCAAAGGTGAGCTCATTCAACTCTAACGCCTCTCTATGTTGGGAGGAATTCCTGGGAAAAATTAGTGTTTCCACAGTTGTTCCAGAAAGTACCTGTCTAATTCACTTCATTCAGATGTTTTCAAGTGACTCTGATAAATTTTGTCATAACCATTTTATGCACTTGTTGACATCCTGGTGTCTTTCTGGTTGAGACTGTTACATGATGCACTCCTAAGAAATGTTTACCATTTATATAGGATGTGCTTATTAAGAAAATTCTCCTAAAAATGTGTCTTAGTAGGTTGAGTTGTTATGTAATATTAGATTTATTTCCATCACAGTGGCCATCACAGTGTAGATGTCATAACACTATTGTGGTGACATCTAATGAGCTTTGGCTCAGTCTATTCCATGTCAGAATTGTTGAGAACTGTCATTTCAGATGATCATACAAGACTGGGACTCACATATACCACAAGCAACTGTGACAAAAATAGTAGGGATAAATGATGCATTGTAAATGAATTTAAGATCATTTCTGTAGCTATAATTACCAGGAGTTCCTAAATAATGCTTCTATTTGTAAATCAATTGTGGACATTCTGGCACCAGAGAGGTAGAAATCTGTAAACCTCTGGAACTCATGCTATACACATGTGCACCTGCACACATTCATGTAGCATCCCATAGGAATTCTCAAATAATTACCTGGGGAGTTTTGATATTGTAATATATTATTCCTAGTGAAAGTAAGATCTATGCTGTTGCCCTCCATTCTCTTACTTTTCTTGGTGACGTGGTTTCCATCAAGATAATTCAACAAGAATTGAATTCTGTGTTCCTGAAGTTTCTGTATTGAAATCTTCATACCACATTATTAACACCAGAAGAGTATCAGAGCTAAGTGAAGCCAATCTCCCATGACTTCCTGCATTTACCCTGTGTTCCAACTCTAATTCCAAAGTCCTGTGTGAGTCTGAAACACCAAAGGAAAAGGATATGGATGTGATTTACACACTTCAACCCAAAGTTCTTCTTTTTTTTTTTTTTCTGGCTTTCCTCTTTATCCATTTGGGATTTTCAATTTTCTGGGTTGCGTCCTTGAGGTTTATGGACTGAACACTAGAAAACAGGGACACACAGAGAATATCTTAGAAAACTTTTTACAATGAGGTGATCCCCTACCTCCCCTGCTGAGAAATAAAAAAAAAATAACATGGATATCTATCTCCTTTCATATAAATCTTTTTAACATCTAGTTTTGAAGGTTCAAACAAGCACACATTGTATGTTATGAATTCACCCACAGTTGGTTAGTCCCCCAGACAGGTTCACTTCCCCTTTCATGTCATATCTATATGTCTTATGTATTTATACAACATCTAGTCACTGTGAATGCTAAAATGTATACGTCTTTCTGAGACTGGCTTTATCATCTTACTATGACTACCTACAGTTACATCAAATTTCCTACCAATGACATAATTTCAATCTTCTTTATGGCTAAAAAGATGTCAATTACACATATAGAATAATGTATCCAACCCTCTATACCATACGAACAAACTCCTAGGCCTTGCCCTTCTGTACTAATAATTACAGTGTCTCTCTTTTCTTCTCTTTTCAGCAACCTCCATTGTACACACCTACACACAAGCCTTCCTCTAGCAGCCTCTCTCCTCTAACTGATCAAATTTTGGCTTTCACCTTTGAAAATTTTTTTAAGAATTTCAAGAAGGAAAGCAAAATCCTCTCTGAGGAAACCATCACCTTGATAGAATCCCACCTGGAGAATAAGAACCTTCAGGGAGCACTGTCTGAAATTAGTCATGCTCTGAGAAATATTGACAAAGCCCCAGTCAACATTGCTGTGACTGGAGAAACAGGGACAGGGAAATCCAGCTTTATCAATGCCCTGAGAGGAGTGAGGGAAGAAGAAGAAGAAGAAAATGCAGCCCCCACTGGGGTGTTAGAGACAACCATGATGAGAAATCCATACCCACACCCAAAGATTCCCAACGTGACAATATGGGACTTGCCTGGCATTGGGACCACTAAGTTTGAACCAAAAAACTACCTAACAGAAATGAAGTTTGGTGAGTACGACTTCTTCATTATTATCTCGGCTGCACGCTTCAAAGAAATTGATGCATGTCTGGCAAAAGCCATTGCAAAGATGAACACAAAGTTCTACTTTGTCCGAACCAAGGTAGATCAAGATGTCAGTAATGAACAGAAGAGTAAACCTAAGTCTTTCAATAGAGACAGTGTCTTAAAGAAAATTAGAGATGACTGTTCAGAGAAGCTTCAGAAGGCTCTCCCCAGTCAGCCTCCAGTCTTCCTAGTCTCTAACTTTGATGTGTCTGACTTTGACTTCCCAAAGCTGGAGACCACCCTACTGAGAGAGCTCCCAGCCCACAAGCGTCATGTCTTCATGATGTCCTTGCACAGTGTTACTGAGACTGCTATTGACCAGAAGAGGGATTTCCTCAGACAGAAGATCTGGCTGGAGGCCCTGAAGGCTGGAGTATGGGCCACCATTCCACTTGGGGGCTTTATCAGAGATAAAATAAAGAAGTTAGAGGAGACCTTGAATCTCTACAGGTCTTACTTTGGGCTGGATGATGACTCACTAGAAAATATTGCCAAGGATTTCAATGTGTCTGTGAGTGAAATCAAGGCACACCTTACGTCTCTCCATTTGTTAACAGAGGACAAAGACATGTCCTTCAAAGAAAAACTGTTGAAATATATTGAATCTATTTCCTATGTTACTGGGGGACCACTTGCCTCAGGCCTTTACTTTAGAAAGACTTACTATTGGAAAAGTCTCTTTATTGATACTGTGGTAAGTGATGCCAAGTCTCTCCTTAATAAGGAAGAGTTTTTATCAGAGAAGCCATGATCGTACCTGTCTCACTTCTCTTAATACTGGGAAACAGGAATGGAGCTGTGAGGTGTGAAACTTTGGACTGGCTTTGGGTACCAACTTAAAGCCTACTTTTAGCACAAACAATTGTGGGAATGACCAGAGAATTCATGACTTTCAGAGACAGAATATCACTGTACCGAGTGGAAAAAGAGTCATCCACAGTATAAGAACTCTCTTCCATTCAAGTATCATTATGAGAATATATGGTTGTATACATATGATTTGCAATATGTTTGTCTAATTAAACTTCGATCATTTGTCCCATGGAGATTTCCTAAGCTGTGTCACACTCTACTAAGATGAGGAAGTTAGTAGACTGTGTAATCATTTGTGCTTTTCTATATCTGCCTCAGTTCAAGAATAATGACACAGAGGTTCGTTTATTTATGCATTAATGCCTACACCTTAGCTAAGATTGATCTCCAACTATCTCATAACTAAATTAAACTGTTCATACTGTTCTATATCTGAGACGAGGGTGGTTGCCTCTTCTTAGTTTCATATATTCAACTTCCTCCACAACTTGTTGGTGAATATCTTCAGCCTGATATTTCCCCAGAGCTTCTCTCTCTCTCTCTCTCTCTTTCTCTCTCTCTCTCTCTCTCTCTCTCTCTCTCTCTCTCTCTCTCTCTCTCTCTCTCTCTCTCTCTCTCTGCAAGTGTCCGACCTGTTTTCTCCTGCCTTTCTGTGGGCCATTCAGCTCTTTGTTGACAGATGATGCTATGACATAATGCAAAGGAGATTACTGCTCGAATCCTTCCTGAATTTCTTTTGGAGTTCAGGAAGTACAGGGACTGTATCCCAGCACACATCTGCACATGAGGTGGTATCTCCTTAGACATGGTAGCCACACAGCAGATGGGATGATGACCATTGTCCATGCTCCCTCTAGGAAGAGCTGGGTAATGTATGGATAAGTAAACATGCCTAGAGATCCGGGCAGACACATACATTTTATCCCATATCCTTCACCACTCAACTGGATGAGTTTGGAATTTGTTTTTAGGCAACACTGGTTCTAATTAATTGTCATTTCTGTGGTATGGAAAAAACTCAACAACATCTTAAAATCTAGTCTCCTGCTGAACACCAGGTCATCAACACAACAGTCTGTAGTCTCTCCCTAACTTCATTCTCTTTTCTCTTCCTCTTTCTTCTCTAGAAATTTCTCCTGCTTTTCCTCTTCTTCCTCCTTGCTCTTCTCCCTCTTCTGTCTTTACTCCTCCCCTGCTTCTGTCTTTCATATGCCCACTCAGTTATAAGACTTGCAAACAGAGTATCTACAGGGAAGCCTTGCAGCCTGGAAATCTTTGGAAGAATTGGTATTTCAGCTTCTGTCCAAACAGCAAGAATTCTTTCTTCTCTCTTTCCTAAGGAATGACAGGGGTTTGTTGTTGTTGCTGGGTTTGTTGTTGTTGTTGTTTGTCTGTTTGTTTTTTATTATCTCTAAGAATTTTAATTGGTTAGACAGAGGCATTTCCAGTAGAAGAAGTCACCTGACATATTCAAAGGCTCCTGCTGTAGAGTCTCTGTGCAATGCTTGAAAGCATCACTTGACAAAGAAATGCGGTTGGCCCATGAGCAAAAGGCTGGAACTAATAAAAGAGAGTTTCAGTAGAAAAAAATGGAATTCTGGGAGACAGAGAGTGAGTGGGATATTTTTGTAAGACACTGCAGAAGACAAATGCATGAATCTGGAGACAGGCAACTGGCCACAAGGCAAGACTTAGAATTCATGGGAAAATTAAGCTATCAGCTTGTTGAGGAACAATCCCAAGATTTTGTCCTAGGCATTTATTCATATTTAATAAGTCTTAGTCGTTATTTCTGAAAATAAAGAGGCCAAGTGGGAAAACTTACATTTCCACTTGGCTCACTGAAAGTCTGGCAAGAACTTCTTGAATAGCCACCCCCTACCCACCATGGTGCAACAAGGCCAGCTGCAAGGAAGAAGAGAAGACCCCTAGAAGGGCGGTTTGAAGGTAGCTCTTTTAAGAAGCCCTGGCTGTGTAGGAAAAAAAAAAACCCAGCTCTTCAACTGTAGCCTCAGTGCATAAAGCTGGACTCAGTTTCCTAGCCAAGCAAGAGGCTCCCTCCCTGAAAGGGAGAGCAAGGGAGGCCTGTGAGCTAACCCAGCTGGTGGAGCTGCTCTCTCAGGACAAAAGCCTACCTGAGAGGGCTCATGTTAGCCAGACACCTTGTGGCCTGATGACCCAACATCTATGGGCCCAACAATTTCCCTGTGTTGGAGAATGGTCTAGATCCAGTGAGGCCGCTCCCAGTTACTTGTAGAAAGCAGAAACACTTCTTCTCTGAGAGAGCAAATACAGAGCTTACACTAGTCACAGTGCAGGAAGCAGAAGCCAGACACAGATAGAGAGCAAAATTTCTGATAAGGTAAAAAGTTGTTTCAAGGTTCCCCTAAGAAGCAGAGCAAGTGTTGTCTAAGCCTCTATTCGCTGCCATTAGATCCCAACCTTCCCTCTAGACTGCCTGCTTGGGCTTCAGCAGGAGAGAATGTGCCTAATCCTTCTGGGACTAGTTGTTTCAGGGTGGGTGGTACCTGAGGAGGGCTCCCCTTCTCTGAGGAGAAAGGGAGGGAGCATTGGGAGGAGGAATTTGTAAGGGGGGATGGGGAAGTGAGGAGGGAGGAGGTGCGATAAGCATGTCAAGTGAATAAAAAGTAAATACATTAAAATGTTTTAAGTTATAGTTTCGGGCTGAAGAAGGGAAAAGACTGAATATAAAACATCATAGATAAATATAGTTTGAGTTTGGTAAAAAAAGTCCTTAAAGAGAGTATTAAACAAATTGAAAGAAATAAGCCCCATGTGGATGGAAAGAATTTAGAGAAAATAAATACAGAAAAATGTACTAACTTTAGAAAATGTTAAGAGCAATTTTAAAAGCAATTGCCTAGAGAAAAGTATTTAGAGAAAATTAAATGCAAAAATTAGTTTAGAGATCATTCAGACAGAAATAAGTAAATACAAATAGAAGAAAAAGTCTTCCAAAAAGGGAGAAGAAAAAAATGTTTCTAGAAAAAGAAGAGAGAAAACAGAAGATGGAGTCTCAAAGGAAGAGAGAGAGAGAGAGAGAGAGAGAGAGAGAGAGAGAAATACAATAGTATCTCTTTTTAAAAGAGATAGGAAAAAAAATAAGTCTCCAGAGAAAGAAGAATAAGAAAATTTCTCTGAAGGAAGTAGAAAGAAAAATGCAGCACAGTCTCCAAAAGAATGAAAAAAAAATAAAATAGGATTTTCAGAAAAAGGAAAGATAACTTAAAAAAAATGTGAAGTCTCAAAAAAAGAGGAAATTAGAGAGAGATTTAAAATAAAATTTCCAGACCTGGGTAGCCAACAGCCTGTGAGCATCATGCCTAAGTTTTATTGTTACTACTGTAATACATATCTTACCCACGATTCTCCATCTCTGAGGAAGACACACTGCAGTGATCAGAAAAACACAAAACGAATGTGAAAGACTATTACCAGAAATGGGTGGAAGAGCAGACCCAGAGCCTGACTGACAAAACAACAGCTGCATTTCAACAAGGAAAGATCTCTCAGGCTCCATTCTTTGCTCCTCCACCTTCAGGGGCCATGATCCCTCCTGTCCCCAGTCTCCTGGGTACTCCTCTACCTGGCATGATGCCTACACCCCAAATTGAAGGCCCTCCTATGATGCCAATGATGGGGCCCCCTCCTCCTGGGATGAGATCACCCTTGGGAGGCCACATGCTTATGATGCCTGGGCCTACAAATGATGAGACCTCCTGCCTGCCCTATGATGGTGCTTATGAGTCCCCACATGACCTGGCCAGACAGATAAGAGCAGATGCACTCTTTATCATTTTGAATTTCTTGTTCTGCTTCACCAGGAGGTCTTGGTACTGAGCCTGAGTGTTTACTAGATGCATGGCAAAGAACTTCCTTTCTAACAGAGAGAAAAAGACATTTCCACGATAAAAATGAAAAACTCTACAGAGGAGAACATATGGTCCCCGTATAGTTTTTCCTCTCTGTCAACATGAAAATACTTATATGTTTAATAATGATTACACTTTTATGTATCGTCTTTAAGGATAATCAAAATAAAACAGACTTCAATTTAAAAATAATGGACTAAAAGATTACAGGCCATAGAACAGAGGTTGAAGGATTTAAAAATCAAACTAAAGAACCTTCAAAAGAATTCAATCTGGAAACAACAATAACAACACAAAAGTAGTTCCAGATGAAAATAATCAACAAGGCTTAAAGATTAGAATGGCAACTAACCAATAGGGATACAATATTCTGAATTAAGCATCCCAATTCTATGATGATGCTACCTCAGAATAATGTCAAATAATAGCATATGTTTTCCAATTTGTAGAATTTGAAAAATCTAAAATATGGACATATGTTGATACATTATGCTATTGATAAATAATCAGATTTTCAGTGAAGTTCTAATGAAAAGGATGATTCTGAGATCATAAATTTATTAGAGATGATAACATTCTTAGAGATTCCATTACAGATTGAAAATAAAAGTACTTCACCAAATGTATCCATTAGAATACGATAATTTTTTAAACATTATGACATAAAACATGTTCCAAGCACACCTTACAATCCTACAAGACAAACAATTATGGAGAGATCTAACAAGATTTTAAAGAAAATGCTCATAGAACAAAAGAGAAATATAAGATCTACCAATATAGATTGAATAATACTTTGTTGACTTTAAATTTTTTAAATGACATTACCCCAGCACTCAGGATTCAAGGAGACCCTAGGGAAGGGCACAAAAGAATAAAGGGACAAGAGACACAAAGACTGAGAGAAAATCTGGGGTTCTGATTAAGCTCTGAAACTTTAATTTCAGGGAGCAGATTATAAAGACACACCAAAATGGGGAAGTTTAGACGAGAGTTATTGCTTAGGGCTATCCAACTGTTGAATCATCATTGTCTAAGAATATCCCACTGTCATAATCTTATTGTCCAAGACCATCCCACTGTCTTAACCCTCTACCAGGAAATGCCAGACATTCTTTAAGTTCCTGGGACCTGAGTCCTTTCTTAACCTTGTATTGACTAGGCTTTCCAGAACAGCAGGTAATTTCCTGGATTTGACTCCCGGCAGACAATGAGACAGATAACACAGTTATGAAAATACACTGGATTTTTGAAGGGACTTGTAGGCTTAGACTTTTCAAAACCTATTTTAATAAAGGTTCCTAAATGCTTTACCCTTCCTTATAGCCCACTGAACAAAGGTAGGGAAGGAAGATGGCCAATAGGACAAGGGGGTTGTCGACCTGTATAGAAGTTGTTCTTTGAGACAATTCCGATCTTCATTGTCAGCAGTTGAGTCCACTAGCAAAACACCAACATAAATCAGCAATGACAATCTAGTCCATGAATCAGTAGTAGTAGATTGATCCAGAAAAAACCATGAGGTTCCCACACCTACATTGTGCCCTGAAGATGAATGTGAGCATATGGAGAGATGTGCCCACACTCCTAAAATACATACCCCAACTCTGTGTAGAAAACACTCATTGCACAATGTTAGCTCAGACTTTAATCTGCTTCTGTGGGCTTCAGTACTTCACAGAAGCTGTTGCTGACATCTTGCAGAAAGAAGATGTCAACAGATGGTATGGGCTGTGAAGGGAAGCTAGCCAGCCCAAGGTGGCAAACATGGCGCTGGCAGGCATTGCCATTCTCCTCCATTCCCTCTGCCTTGCTAAAAACAAACAAACAAACAAACAAACTCCCATTAGACTGTGTTCTTAGAGCTAGCCACAAAGGTCTATCCTGCTTATCTGACCACTTGTCTTTCTAAGATCACTTTCAAATTCCTGATGATCAAAGAATTGAAATCCAGCAATCAATAACCCCCTTTGGCTTCCCTAATTAACATGCCCAAATAAAATTAAACACCTCATCCAAACACAAGGCTTCCCTTTTTGCCTTTATAAACTGCCATTTGCCTATGAGCCACCCGTGCCTCCTCTTTATGCAGAGGTAGATCTTTGTCTCCATTAGGGACAAATACCTTTTCCCCTTCTCCCTTGTTCCTTTCCCCTCTTCCCTGAATCTAGTCTCTTTTGTCTGTCTTTTATTCCCTACCCTTTGGCCATATGGGACAAATGAATCTCTTTTGTGCTGAGAACTTGGACTTGGGGGTCATGAGCCAACATTGTTCTTAATGAAGTCTGTCTCTGAGGATGAGAGCCCACTGGTCCTAGTTAAAGGTAAGAACATTACAAGTACACATCACTGCACACTGATAACAATACGTTTCTGCCTCCTCAGACTGTGGCATCTTCCTAGTACCCCTGCGCCCTAATTCTGGTTTATTTAGTCCATTGACAGGTTAGAATGGCTGGGGAAGCAGACCTGTGTGAAGGGGAATGTTGTCTTGGGCTGTGTCTCCGATACTCTGGAGACAAAGTCATCCCTTCCCCCAGCACACACATCCTGTCACATTCTTAGTCTTGTCTAAGCCCTGAACATAACTCCTCCTTGGTTCCATTGTGAGAGTCACAATACAATTCTAGGAACTGAAGAACTGGGGTACAGCATCTGACTTCATCCTTCCTGTAGCCCAGACTCCAGTTTCTGTACTAACATATTCCAAGTCCAGGAGGGGAGAGAGGAGAGAAGCAATAACTGCCTCTGGATAGCAAGTTGAGACCAGGAAAGAGTGAAAAATTCCTCTGTTCACACAGGAGAACAATGTCTGGGAAAAACAAAATCTGCTCACCTCAGAGATAGGACACACCCATTTCTATGAAAAGAATACCAGGGTCTGTTCTTTACTTACAAAAGAAATCCTGAGAGACCATCATCCTGGGGCAACCAATGGTACAAGGCACCATACATGGTGCATATATGCGTGTGGATGTGTTTCCATGTGTGTTTTCCTGTGTATTTGCCTAGGGTTCAGTCTGCATGCATGTGTGCTTGTGTGTAACTGATAACTCATTACTTGTAGCTACACACTAGCCTCTACAGTACGAAGACCCTGAGTTCAGCAGGTTCTTAGGGCATGGAAATGCTGTGGTAAATGACTAATGATCAAATCCCTGTGAGGACAAGTGTGTTGAGCACAGTATGAAAGGACAACATGGAGACGATTGTCAAATACTGCAGAACCCAAGAGCGTAAAGGGAGAAACGCCTGCCATGTGTGCATTATGCAATGGTTAACGTTTCCATGTCTTTCCACAGTGAACCTATCATTAACCAGGAAAAAAGGCTTTCTTTAAACAGGATAGCTTGGAAGAGTTCAGTTCTCTGTAGCTACAAACAGGTAGTAACTATGTGAAGGTCTGTGCTTGCAGCCAACCTCATTGTAAACAATGGGTGATTGCAGACTCTTTGCATTGGCCCAGCCACGTCTGAAAACAACAAAGTATGAGAAGTGCCAGAGACTTAAGGTCAGCTTAAGTTTGTGAACTTTAGGATACCTTTTGCGTCTCTGTGTGTAGTGTGTGTAAGCATGGAAAGACATACATTTAAGCTTGGATCCCTATAACCTAGAATACATATTGAGTGGCTCTTACTCATTTCACTACATTGTTAAGGACAGTCACTGTCAGCCCCTTCACATGAGAAACTGTGAGCACGAGCCACGGGACAGCCCAGGTCCAGCTCTGGATAGGGATCACTGCCAGTTCTGCACAGGACCTACTGAATGGGAGGTGAGCAAACCAAGCCCTGGCCAGGGAGCACTGTCTGCCCCTCTTCCCAGCAAGCCTCAAGTCAGGGTTGTTCCAGGTTCAGCAAATAAATGCAGCTGCCCAATGAAGTAAGAACATTCCAGAGCAGGGCATCTGCATGCATGGGTGAGGCTTGGGAATGTTGGACTCTAAGATCCAAACCAGGAGATGCGCTCCCACAGAAACACGCACAGACAGAGGAATCGCTGCAAAAACATGAGGTTTAACGATGATAATAACTAGTGCACTGGGTTTTTCTTGTACACAGACAAGAGGAACTCTGAGCCAAAGTTGGGAGCAGTTTTTATACCATATTCACAGGGATTATAAGGGCAGTTTTACAACCTTCTCTTAAACAATAACCACAAAGGCTGACCTTAACAGTTGTTCCCAGGCCAGGTGTCTAGGTGTCTCAGATTACCACATCATCTTTATAACAATGAGTGTTAACTAAGCTGCTTCTGTTTGCTCAGGTATATTACGTTAAGGCTCCGCCTTCCAGATTTCCTCTTATCTTGGGCCTTCCTCTAGAATGTGTTAGTCTTTGGAATATGCTTCTCCCAGAGTGTGTCCTGAGGCAGTTAATTTTTGAAGTCAAACTGAAACCTAAGATTCTTTCAATTTTAAGATTAAACTGAGATCTGAAATTCCTACAGAAACCATAGCTCAGAATTGAGAGAAAAGGAAAATGTCAGCTCTGCTGGGGATTTGTGAGCTAGAAGTCTCAGGGAAGGCCTGAGGTCTGAAGAAAGAACATCCAAGATAAGCACTCACAGTTCTTAAATACAGAACAGAAATATCTGAACACACACACACACTTCCGGCCTTCACTCTCTTCTCTGATCTCCCTTCCACACTCAGGCCCAGGAATCTTAAAGGTTTGCCCCATGTTAGAATCCAGGATCCAACTGTGTTTGTCCTTTAATTCCTCCACCCAGCACTGAGCTCAGCAGAGCCTGTCATAAACCACCACTCCCACTTCCTGTTTATCCTCCTAACAGAAGGAAGTGGTACAGACCTTTCAAAACCCTGCTTCTGAAAGCCCAGGGAAGCTTGAAGTGACAAACCATCACTGCCTTCTAACTAAGATGTCACAGTGGAGTATTATGAAAGACGTGTCATTTTATGTGTATTGATCTCAGTAATTCATGACGTAATGCAAATGCTTATGGATAATGTGACCACAATTGATTTTAAAAGAAAATAAGAAAGTTAAAAGTGTCCAGAGTCATTGCTCAGTACAGGACGGTGTCACAATTACAACTCTGTTAAGTAGAGGATGCTGGGCCTGAGGCCACCCTCACCCGTTGATAGATGAACTGGGGGAAGTCAGACACTGAGAGATCAGGGGAAAGTAGAACTAAAAAAGAGCAGCCTGGGTCCTGAGCTGAAGAGAAATCTGAAGGCATTCCCTAGATATCTGGAAACATGTGGACCAAGGTGTTTGGTGCAGGGCATCACAGGTTTTCAGCAATGGAGGATGGTAGGAAGGAAAATATTTGCCAGGGAAGGGACAATGAGCCTGACACAATGGTATAAATTGTGTCCAAAGACAACTGTGTGTAAAGGGACAAATTTTATCCTGGGTGGTCACAACACACACATGTCTGCTTACTCCAGATAGGGAGCCCACCACAGACCAAGGTACAGATACCACCAAAGTCCAACTTGTTGAGCCAATGGCTTTTATTGGGATTTCTAACAGCAGCAGGAAATACTCAAACACAGCTGCATCACCAAGGCCAACCCCTGCATGAGTGACAGCTCAGGAAAGCTGGGAACCTGGAGCAGCTCAGCAGCTCAGAGAGTGTCCTTTACAAGTGATTCTGGTCTAACCTTCTTCCAGGCATCTCTGGGTTTCTGCTTCTCCCAGGAAGCTGGTCTGGATGCAGAGTCTTCTGTGCAGCTCAGCTTCATTAGTCTGAGAAGGATTCTTAGCTTTTATTGCTTACCCTGGCAGGGAAGGTTCTAGTTAAAGTAGTCAGTTTCAGTACTTCTGCTTTTGTCTGCCCATGGTTGAGCCCTCATTCATATTCTCTCTCTTTCTCTCTCCCCCCGCCTCTCTCTCTCTGTGTGTGATTATCCAACCTTTTCCTCTTTACCCACCTTCCTAGTAATATCCTGCCAGTCGAGCTGCCCTGAACCTCTGAGAGCACCATGGCTCATATTTCTGTACCATTCACTGCATTTTGATGAGAAACTTTCCTCTATCTTCACTGGGAGGACTGGTCTCTGATCCCAGGCAGAAGTCCTCTCTCTAGTAAATTGACTCCAAGGGTACATTACATTGGAAGCCACCCTCACCAACCACACTCCTGGCCTCACCAGGCACAGACTTCTTAGCCACAGAGGCACAGACTGTAGGAACAGCAGGCTAATCCAGTGCTCTTTCCTGCTCCAGCATTTTCCTATGTGATACTATGGGTCTGTGGTCCTCCAGACAGTCACTAGTCTGACTGGAGTTTTAGTCTTAATAAATTAGAGGTGTTTTATTAGAAAGGAGACTGACCAAGCCCAAAGCGGAGAGAATTTTCTAGGTAAGGTCCCAGATGTTGTTAGTCAAACAATTATAGAGGAGAAAAACCACAGTTATTATTTGGGGATCAAATTAGCTCTAATCCTATCTGTGTGTGGGCAAGCCTTGATTCTGTAACAGACCTCCAGCAGGGCCCTCAGCCCTCCAAGCAAGCAGTTCATACAACAGCAGAGCTTAGCAGTTAGCTTGTTTATTTGTGACCCATTACCTTGTAAGATTATCTGGGAGCAGTGAAACATTGTTGAACAATTAGCAATTTTTTAAGGGTAGCTCAACTGCACCAGGAGTTAGTTGAATCGGCCAGCTGACAGAGTACATTCAAAGTCGGAACAACTTCCTCATGACTTATACAAGCTAAAAATAATTTTGTTTTTTTACAAAATCTAGCACAGTAAACTTAACACATTAATCACAATGTTCACCATCACCATGGGTTTTTCCGACTAGGGAGATATTCAATTGGTAAAGTAACTGTCTTTCAACAAGATAGTTAGGAATTCACAGAATCCACATAAAGTCACAGTGGAGTGAATTTGTAATTCCAGCACTGAGGAAGGAGGGAGGCAGATCTGTGAAGCTCACTCATCAGCCACCCATACCTAATTGATGAAGTCCAGGCCAGTGAGTATGTCTGTCTCAAAATAAGGAAAATGATATCTGAGAAAGAACAGCATCAACACACATGTCCACCTACACATACACACACACACACACACACACACAAACACAGAAAGAGAGAGACAGAGAAACATGAAAAATGTCATGTAAACAGGACAACAGGCAGGGGGACAGGGTTACAGGAAGTGTCTGCAATCACTGAAGCATGGGATCGCTGGATCTGAAAGTCAGTTCCAAGCCAGCAATAGATGACATCATCGGAAAAGAGGGTCTTGAGGTAGGGTAGCAGAGTGGTCAGTGTTGGGGTGGGAGCCATGACACTGGACTAGTATTTCTATAATACCCTCTAGAGCACACAGGAAGCCCTGGAGTTGGACACTTCAGCAGAGCTCCACCTCCCACTCAGTTGAAGGATGTGGAACATTTTCAGCTGACTGTGTAAACCAGACAGAGGGGAATGGGAAAAGAAACCATAACCTAACCTCACAGCAGTCCCTCCCTTCAGGGACAAGGCAGGTAGGATTCAGATCTAGGAACTGCAGAACAGAGAGCCAAGACAGTGTGGCCTGAGATATGAAAACATCTGCCTTTGTTTCCCAGCTGTTCTCTCCAGAGCACTCAGACACCAACACTGTCCATCCCATCTGTTACCTGAATGTCCCAGCTTAGAGGAGTCCATAGAGAGCTACCCCAGTGACCTTGCTCCCAGGGAAGAGGTGACATCACAGGAGGGCCGCTGGCATCACTACTGAGGAGGAGGTACATGAAG